TTTGGATTGTTGATTTTGTGTCACATGACGAAGGAGTTTTAGTCAAGGGTCTACTGTGATAACTTGCATTGTCCATTACAATGACGCTATCAGGAGGAATGTTTGGAACTAGTTTGTTTTTAAATCAACTTTCAAATAAATCAGCGGTAGTGTCTTAATGGTAATCCAGAGAAGAATCTTTAATATTTTTCGTAGACAGAGAAAGTCCATTTGGAATCCAACCATCTTCAGAGCCAGCATGCAAAATAGTTATTCTTTTACTTCTTTTGGATGGCGCGTTTCTTTTACACTTATCAGTTGAGTCAATCCAACCCTTTTCCGGGTTATCATAAGTGTCGAACCAGGTTTCATCCAAGTAAATAATTGGAATTTGTTGTTCTCTGCAAAATCTATTTTTTTCTAGATATTCCAGTCACCATTTCCGAATTCTAAAATATGCCATTAAAACTTGCCTTTTGTCAATTTTTTTAAATCTAAAACCCATGTGTTGAATACACTTCCAGAAGATAGTTCTGCCACATTTAACACCGGTTTCATCTTTTTCAAGCCTTCTAATTAAGATATCTAATGTAGGCACGCTTTGTTCTACGTATAAATGGTAAATTTTACGCCGTATTATATCTTGATCACTTTCATCTACACTCGAGAAAATGTCAGCATCGCTTCTTTTTTTCCTCGCTGAAATGGGATTATTCACAATTTTCCATACAGTTGATGTTGGAATTTTAGTCAATGTGGCCGTTTCTTCTAAAGATGCTTGCTTGCTGGCACCACGTTCAATGAGAGTCAAATAAGCATTGTTTATAACTTCCTTAGTCTCAATTCTGTTAAACATATAGAAAAAGCAGATCAATCGTATATCCATATTGCAAATAATATAGAACAAATAATAATTAGAACAGGCGATGATAGCGATAGTGATACTGATATATTATTGTTTAGTATCTTTCCTAACAAAACCCCAAATAATTAAATTCTAAGCAAAGTACGGACCTGTTCGGCCTTACAGCTTGCCCGGGTCTTTCCTTAATTCGTATCAGTTAGTCGCTTTCTTATATCTATGAACAGACCATATCCGGATAAACCCGAACAACGGGGTGTAGGAAGAGATAAAATTAAATACGAAACTCTCTGGTATTCGAAAAGTCCGCGATATTTTTTAATAAAAAAAAGGAAAAAATAACCGGTCGGAGTGGGGGGGCGTGCTCTGACCTGTTTATCGAGCGATTCTCCCTCTCTCGTTCCGTAGCAACCGCCGCCGCCGCCTGCGACCCGCCTCCCGTCACGCTCCTAGAATATTGTTCCGCGTCTCTTCCATTTTCCGACGCCGCCGCCGCGATCGACGACTCGGAAAACTTTTACGGCTTTCAGAATTCGACGACAGCTTGACTAGATTCACTTTACGTGTTTCCGATTGATTTAACATTTATATCCATTTAACATTTTATACTCCGTATACGGTTTCGGGTCGAAACGCGAGAGGCTTTATATATTTATACGGTATTTGTATGGAAAATTTATATTATGTGGCGGGTTAATCGTTGTTTGTGTACTCGTTTATATAGTGTGTTCTAGCGAAAAACGAAACAAAGCAATTTAAAGTCAAAAACGTAAAGTTTTTTCTTTAAAATCGTCGGTAATTCAAATAAAAAAAAAAGATAAAATGTAAAACAGGTATATAGTGAATAACCCTATACTTTCAAAGTATTTTTTTTTAATTTAAATAAATTTCCAATTCCATTCCAATAAAATCCATTCTTTGCTATTAATAAAAACTATTTCAAAAGTTATAAAAAATAGCTACAACTCAACAACTTAAATATCTCAATAAATTAACTATAATAACAAAATCCGCCATTTTGTTTTTTTTTGTTGTTGATTAAAATTTCTGGGGATTTGTTTTTCGAAAATATTAATATGTATAAATTTATCGTATTTAAATATTTTTGAAAAAAGATTTTCTATTAAGAAGGCAAATATTTTTTTAAACTTTTTCTTCTTCAGGGTTATTCATTATAATTTGACACTCACCTACACTGTTAATTTTGAAACATAGAAAAAAAGTGCAGATTTTTGCTCTATTACCTTATGCAAATGTCGTAAAAAATCAAACGACGATCGCAAGCTGTCAAAAGGACAGCTACATCTTTTTTTTTAATGGAATGCCCTATATATTATAAGCTTAAATCGTAGATCTTTTTTTCCTGCTTTCAAAAACATATAATTTATTTAGCCGTTTTTGAGATATTTCAATTTAAAAATAATTATCGTTTAATTTCTGGACAATAACCAGATTGTTTAAAAATTATCAAGTCTGCCTTGATAGCAACCATATTATCTATGTTTGCAATTGTTTTAACAATGTTCTAGTTTTGACAACTAATCAGAACTAAAGATATACAGCGTAAGTTAACTTAACTTAAAAAAGTCAAATAATAAAATTATATTATTCAAACAATAAAAATATCAATAATTGATGCTAAACATTTTCCACATAACCTCCATTATTTTCTATACATCGGACAATATTTTCTTTCAATTTCCTGTTAATACACGAGTTGTATAAAACCAGGGTTACCTCCGTTTAGATGTTGTAAAACGATATTAAGTCTTTCTCTTATCACCTGTAAACTTTCAGGCCTATTATAATAAATTCTGTTTTTTAAGTATCTCAACAAAAAAATGTCACAAGGATTCAGGTCCTATCCAAAGTCTATATTTATTATGTAGATAATGGGTAGCCGGTTGGACATTATGTGGAGGTGCGCCATTCCTAATTTGCACATTTTTCAACCTTCGTGTACAATTTGTCTGACCACCATATTGTTCAACATACCACACCATACATTAACTAACATCCATCCCTGGATTTTACTGCCTGCAGTAACCTAAAAATGACTTTTCTTTCTATTAAATACACCGGCTGTTGTGAACGAAGCCTCCCCCGTAAATATTATTTTGTTTAGAAAATTTTCATCTTTTTGAGATCTTTTATTTCCATTTACGTGCAAAATTCAAGTCTCTGCGTTTTATATTCACCGGTTAAATTTTGCACTGGACGCAACTTTTGATATTTTAGCTTCGTTGAATTTTACTCAAGGACTTTCCGGATAATTTTTTAACGTCAGATATGGAGTATTAAGGATTTTCTAAACAATATGAAATATAAAAATTAAGAAAGTAAAACTCAAAGTGATGATGTCAAGTGTCTTAATAGTATAATTTACCTTGAAAGTACAGTAATATATTGAGGTCTTCATGAAAATTTCTTTATATTGTGCGGGTCTTTAAATGTACTTATTGAAGGAACTCTTTTACTCGGGTATATTTGTCGATATTCTCTTTTAACCCCTTCAACATTATGTACGTTTGAATAATACAATTTTATTATTTGGTGTTTTTCTTCCTCAGTTAACCCATTTGAAATATCTTAAGTTATTTAACTTACGTCGCAGATCTTTACTTTTGAATAGTTGTCAAAAGTAGCACATTGTTAAAACAATTGCAAACACAGATAATATGGTTGCTAACAAGGCAAACTTGACCATTTTTAAACAATTTGGCTATGGTCCAAAAATCGAATAATAATTATTTTTAAACTGAAATGTCTCAAAAACGACTAAATGAAATGTCAATAATCTATATGTTTTTGAAATCAGGAAAAAAGATCTATGATTTAAGCTAATAATATATAGGACATTCCATTAAAAAAATGATTTTGCTGTCATTTTGACAGCTTGCGATTGTCGTTTGTTTTTTCTGACATAAGATAATAGAGTAAAAAATCTTCAAACTATTGTGTTTACACTTTTTTTTTATTTTTAAAACTAACTGTTGGGTTAACCCTAGTAAATTAGGGTTATTCTATAAAGATTTTTAGAATTTACTTACCACCACCAAAACAGGTCGCACCACTAACAAATGTCCAAATTGGACAGAAAATATTCAAAACTAGTGTTCATAGTCAGGTAACCAGGAAATTAATTTCTAATGCTGCTTTTTTGAAATTCTCGGGTTGGCATTTCTGATTTTTGACCGAAATTTCTCCAAAACTCGCGAGCGTGCGGTGGGTAAATGTGGAGTTATTAACGCCCCCGTTTCAATCGCTTTCCAAAACTGCAAAATAAATTATTAGATTTTTCAATTCCTAGCAGAATTCTCAACATTTATTATGGTTTTATGTTTAGACCTTGCCGTTTTGGAGATATTTAATATAATTATAATATTAAAAAATGGCCGAACGATATCCTACAATTTCAATTAAAAACTTTCATAATTATTAACCAATAAGGACCTTAACAAGATCTAACAGTTTCAAAATGTGCACAGATCGAGAAAAGTATGTCGAGGTCGCTGTTTAGAAATGAAAATTCGGACTGTGCAGGTTAATTTGTAATATTTAGACCAAACTCGTAGCATCTGTGACACAAAATTATTTTTTAATTCTAAATACGAGATTATTATAACAATAAATAGCTTCTATTTGACAAAAAAAAGATTTTCGCCGGTTTTCCCAATTTGACTTTAATTCTCTTTTTTTTTTCAAATTATATCAATTTATAAGATAAAGGGTTGTGTACAGCGTAAACGTGAAGAAAATAATAAAATATAAAATTTCAAGTCCAAAATTTTCAAATTTTTGGTAATTACATTTTTTCCGCGCAAGTCTGTTTAATCTTTACGATTCATCGATTCACGATTCATCTTACTCTATTCATGGCTGCCCTGCTCGTGAAGGAGGAACCAATTTATGATTTCTAGGCATAAACCGTTAGGCTAAAATTGTCGATAAAATTGCATTCTAAACATAGATTTTCAAAGGGTCGTTGTTTATTTCATTTTAATTTTTAATTATTATTTCTATTTCTTTGTTTTTTTGTGCGGTATGTGTAATACTCCACTGAAATGGTTTATACTGCCAATAATGTAATTGTGTTGGCCAAAATCGGGACACTAATATTATTGTTATTACTATGATTTCATTATTTTCTCATGTGCAGGTCTGGTTTCAAAACAGGAGGGCCAAGTGGAAGAAACGCAAGAAAACTACCAACGTCTTCCGTACCCCTGGAGCTCTTCTCCCTTCCCACGGGCTGCCGCCCTTCGGTGCGATGGGTGACAGTCTTTGCGGGTCTGGGATGTTCACCACCTCCGATTCTAGATGGGGTGTCGCCGGCATGGCCTCCAGTACGTGCTCAACTTGTGATTAATGTTTTTCATTTTCAAAAAAATCGTTTTTTTTAACTTTGCAAGGTCTGGGTCAACTTGGTCAAGGTTCGGTGACGATGGGAGGTTTCGCTCAATCTTTAGGACAATTAAATCAGGGTTCCGGTTTGAGTTCCGCGTTACCGATCAGCAGTACTGCCGGTACCGTTTACCAGCCGCATTACGGACTTAATTCGCTAGGTAAGACAGAACTCTGTGTTTTTTAAAAACTGTTGCGCTTACTTACAGAGAAAGGTCTGGTCGTTCTAAACCCGTAAGATTTTTTGTTGTTAAGCCATTAAATAATGTAGTTTCCCTACTTCGGTAAAAATTGATACGCAGCAGTGATTTTCGAGCATGCTGCGTATCAATTCATCAACATTTCATCTACTAACATGCACTTTGCGCCATTTTCCAAGCGATTTCTACACACTTAACTTGTTTTCCCCGAACATTTAACGAGATCTTGGCATATTTTGAGAAAATACTGCCCCAAAAATGGCGCAAATTTATTAACGATCTATTAGCGACAATATTGGTTGTTAAGGGATAAAGTGATAATAATTTTTTTTTAATTGTTCACGGACGCACACTGATCGGATTGAGCAAAAACTTGCCAAGAAACACTATGGACCGAGAAAGAAACTGTGCTACCTGTTCAGGACATCAGATGGCAGATTTTATCCCAAAAATTAGCAATTTTTGTAAGAATTAGATGGTATATAACTGAAGAGTTAAAATAAATAAGAACTAAAAGTTCAGATTTTCACGAAACTATATATTTTGAGATGACAACACCGTGTGTTTATCAAATGTTTGATTTGATAAAGACACGGTGTTGTCGAAACAATTGTCATGTCAAAATATATAATTTCGTGAAAATCTGAACTTTCAGTTCTTATTTATTTTGATAAATGGATTTTCATCAAGTAAAAGCCACCTCAGTTCAATAACTGAATAGTCGTTATTGTTTTGGAATATTTTTTATATTCTGAGTGTCCCAAGGATTCATCATCAAAATCCCCACTTACAGATCAGATTAGTTGCTGTAATATTTAGCTTTACCAGTACAAATCCGGGATAGCCCACAGTCTATCCTATATTATCTGGTATTTCATTCACAGAATCGGACTTTTCCCTTCCAAAATTTTATGGCAATATGTTTTCTTTAACCTGGGATCTTATTAAATATACAGGAATTTGTTTATTTTGCGTCATTTACGAGTGAACCACTTAACTTTGTGTAGGCTGATTTCCGTTCTTTGAAAGCTTTGGGATATTTTCATGGACTGGTAGTTATATACTTCTGGATTCTGGATTCATTAATGTTTTATAGTGCTCCATCATTCATTTACCGCAGCATGAATTTAACACCTGCGGACACTTATTTTGCAGTTGAATTGTTTGAAAGCGCTTTGCCCGCACACTGTAACCATTAAATTTACAGCTTCTGTTTGCAGCAGCAATAATTTTCTTTTGCTATTAGATATTGAGGAACAAAATTCAATTTTTATTTAAACTTTTTTTTTATTAAAAATTTATATTTCCTGCCGCAAATGGTATTCCATTTCTTCTTAAAACATGATTTAAAGTTTGCAATTCTGTATTTAAGACTAACTAGTAGCTATCTAATTGCATGTTTATAATAAAATATGATAGGATTTCCATTGACAATAAAAAGTTCGCGGTATGTTAAAACGGCGTCTTACATTGGTCTAAAAGTTTATCATCAGTAATCATTTTTCGTATTTAAATTGAATAATAATCATATTTTGATCGATTTTAAAAAAGAAATGACAAAATCTGAACAACTAAAAATTTAGAAGTAAAAGAAATGTTTTTTAAATATGCAAAAAATTAAATCCCTTAATCCCTGTTTTGCAAAATTAAAAAACTGTGACATATATGTATTGAAAGATTCGACTTCTTTTAAGAATATGTAACAATAATCCGAGTACAGAGCTAAATTAATCAAAACAAAATAAACTATAGAAAAGAAAATACCGTTGAGATCCATTCGCATTTCCCGGTACATAATTCCGCGTAGATAACAGATCTCAATTAATGAGCACATATTTAAATCACATATACATGACAAGAAAAATTTAAGGGTGACTTGAACATAATGTGCGCATTGACTCTTGGAATCCATACTTACGGAACTAATGCCACAGAGTCAATTTTGTTATGGATTAAGTGATGTAAAAATTTGCCAGACAAATATAGTTGGGACGATTTGTGATGGCTTAGCCGGCAGACACTCAGAAAAAAATAGATTGTTCATCTTGCTTCCACTTATACTTAAAACGTAAATGTTTGCCCTGATCAATGCAAGACAACCGTCATTAACAATCAAGATTGTATTACTCGGGAGTAAGAGGGACAAAATCTGTTATACTTGGCATTAACTAGTACCCCCACACTCAGAAATTGATTCATGTAATATTTATATAATAATAGAACAGGCGGTTCCTTAGATGAAAAAATTATGATAATTTATTATATGAAGTATTGTCCGAAAAGTCTGTCTATGCAATAAAAATTAAAACAATAGGAAAAAATTCCGAAAATTAATAGTATATTATGCAACAAGTGACTTAAAGAGTTTATCGAACGTGTTGCATAGTATACTGTTTCTACGATCGTTAGTTTTTGGGCAAATTTTCGCAAAACACGAATACATTCACTGACATAGCCGTCAGAACTGACAAACGCCAAACTTCAACCCGTACGGTAAAATCCCGGAAATGTCCGGATTTGTGGGAAACGAAACTGGCGTGGTAAAGTGACGCTTCCCGCACCCCAAATCGGTGTATAATTAGGTATTTTTTAGACGAAATTAGAAAAAAAATATCATACTGTATAAATTTTAAAGAGTCATAAGTAAATATACAAGTAAACCATATTTAGTTTATATTTAAGATTGAAACATCTTCATCATCAGAGCCAAAATTGGAAATGCTACTACCAGAAAATGATGCTTCATCTACATTAATAACTAGTGGTGGTACCGTTACATTAAGTGTATTCTCTTTTTCTCAGTTTTATTTTTTTATATTTTATGAATGTGTTATGCAATTGAACTTTTTTTTTGGTAACTGCCTGGAGAGCTGCCTGCCAAACAAATACTACTGCAATATCATCGTGCCTTGCCTCACTTACAATATTTTTATTAAAAAATATTTTGCACTGAGTCTACACCAATTCTATGGCGTTAGATATACAATGGTAAGGAATCTATCTTAAAGCTTGATGACTCATTTCGGCAATTGATGCGTTTGTAGCATACGGCATATTTGTTTTGTAATTTTTGACAATTTTTAACAACTCACATTTTGCCAATTGGTAAATTCTTCTTTTCTTGTTGATGCACTTATTACACTTTCACTAAATCTGGAATTAAAGACGACGACCTTTCGAGTTTCTGTAGCAATTTTCAGCAATGAGACCCGGTTTTGTAGTGGAAACGATTGTAATTATAATATTGTATAAACTCTGAAGAAGTCAACAGGAGGAATCCAAAAGTTTTGTAAAAAGCATTACAGTAGCCTGTAGAAGTTTCTTTGAAAAATTAGTTGGTTTGATGTTATTCCAAACCATTCCCTTAAGTTTTCTCCCTTGACTCCTTGTGCGCTAGATCTTTCCTTCCATCTCATATTTAGGTCCTCTGAACACCTGGCCAAAGTATTCCATTTTTCTTCTTTTTAGAGAGTTAATTATTTCCTCCTGTTTCTCTGTAGCAGTTTCAGATTGGAAACCCTGTCAGTCCATGAGATTATCAACATTCGCCGATAACACCATCCTTCAAAAGCCCCGATCTTTTCCATATCTGCCTTTTTCAGTTTCGATGCTTCTGATCCGTAAAGTAATGTTGAAAAAACGTAATATCGAAACATTCTTATTCTCAATCCGAAATTTATATCTCTGCTGCAAAGAAGCTTTTTGATCTTTACAAATGCACTTCCGGATGAGTTATACTCGTTTCAATTAAGATATTGTCAGCCATTTAAAAGTACTTTTTTGTTATTTTTAACCATTTTTCATTAAATTTAATTTATTTAAAAAAAGTGAACCAGCATGTGAAAAAGTTAGTCCCGTTCGTACCGTTCGGAAATATCGAACGTTGCGCACCCTGTAAATGAAACGACGCGGGTCGGTTAAGCAAAAAATGTCTACCAGCCTCGACATCACCACGGTGTACCGAAAACAAACAAAACGTCACGTTACTTTTGGCACCTCCGTTCGAAAGTAACAACTCGGTGCGGTATTCAGTGGCGCGGCGGGGGCGGCCACGCCGGGGCGGGTGGGGGACAGGCAACGCAATTAGCGGCGATTAGACGTGGGGCCAGGTCTCGTTACCCGCTACCGAAATACACCTTATTTAAGCCTATAATTGATACGGTAAACTCGGACTCTTGTTTGCGATAGTTCTATTCATACAGCTCGCGGCCATTATTGCTATATACACGCTCTCTCGAGTCCACATAGATATATAGAGAAAAATCACCTACTTAGAGGTCGTCATTGTTCGGTTCCGGATTTTAACACTTTTTCGTTTTCGTCATCGTCGTCGACTTCTGACTTTTCATACTCGGGTTGTTTTGTTACGAAACGTTGTTTGTTTAGGAATTAAATCGGGATAAACAGCGGAGGCCATTTTCGAGAAAAACTCTCCGCGAACGAATCGAAATTCACCAAACGATACCTTGAAACTAAAATAACTTCCGCCGTCTTTTACAAAAAGGATAACGATTTCACTATGATGCCGGAAAATGTTCAATTATCATATATTATTTACATTTTCTAGAGTTTAATTTTCCCTAAAATGTTTGGTAATTAGTGTTTAGATATGGTAGAATGTGCAAAAATATAACGCGAGTCGTAAGGCTATACTTTATGCAAACCTAAATCACATAATGATGTGCAAAATTGATAATCTTGTGTCTAATTAAGTCGGCATTCCTAAGACCTGTATCAATGTTTTATTACACTTGACTAAAATGTACATATCATAATATTTTATTCTACCTATGAAAAGATAAACATAATAACATAACCTAATACAAAAAGAAGCCGGGAGGCAGTTAAATTGTTAAAGTTATAAAAAGCATAACATCACGGAGGAGAGATTTTTCTTCAAGAGAATTAAACGAATTAATTTTTGGAGAGAGAACCGACGAGTTTAATGATAACATAAAAACAATAGCTTCAACAATAGTTCCATACTGGGAAGTATAAAGCGCAATTATTATTTTTTAAATACTAATCGTCAGGTACTGGATTAAGAAGGGGCAATCAGAGTGAGGTAGGGGAATATATTTTTCACTAAGCAGTAGTTTCTGTAATAGTCTTTTAAATCGTTGTATGTTTAGTTTTTTTAATGTTAGGGGAAGTCCATTGTACAGGCTATACACGTTTTATAAAGAAGCTTCCTCTAAATAATGTGTTAGAGTGTTGTGGTGGGGTTATCAGACCTCGAAATCTCAGATTTTGACTATGAATATCAGTTCGATATTTGATACGATTCGACAAATACGTAGGCGTTCCCGACAAATAACCTTAGGCATTTTCTGATGCTATAAACGAATCTCAAACAGGATTTTTGAACTTTCTTCTTTGTATTTCAAGTTTTCGTTTGCTTAGAACTTTTTATAAAGGTTTTTTCATAAAACCAAGAATCTAAAAGTTTCCTATATGGTGCCGACTTTATTCGATGCCATCGCTACGTATTTCAGAAGCTTTTTTAAATTGTATAATTTCTCTGGGCGATATTTTCAAAAATTTATACTTATTTTTCCTACATCGTTAAATAAACTCCAAAGTCTTTTAAATATTTGGATGTTTTTGTACTAATTTGATTTTTTGGTGGCCAATCTAACTCTCTTTTTGACCGCTTTCAATAAATTCGAGTTTATAAATCTATTCGGTGCCTCAAAAAATGTATATATATATATATATATATATATATATATATATATATATATATATATATATATATATATATATATAAAACACTTCGAAGTGTTCGAAGTGTTTTCGGAGCGCGAGCATTGAAGATGCCAAGTGAGATTTTGGCGAACCGTCTGCAGGATTCCAGTCGGATGCAAGATTTGCAGGATTCCAGTCGGATGCAGGATTCCAGTCGGAGTTCAACGAGCGAACGGATGATATCCCGGAATATAGTGTCATCACATTTTTCCATCCGTGAATCAATACGTGAGAATATATATATATATATATATATATATATATATATATATATATATATATATATATATATATATATATATATATATATATATATATATATATATATATATATATATATATATATATATATATATATATATATATATATATATATATATATATATATGATGACACTATATTCCGGGATATCATCCGTTCGCTCGTTGAACTCCGACTGGAATCCTGCATCCGACTGGAATCCTGCAAATCTTGCATCCGACTGGAATCCTGCAGACGTTTCGCCAAAATCTCACTTGGCATCTTCAATGCTCGCGCTCCGAAAACACTTCGAATACTCGGAGCGCGAGCATTGAAGATGCCAAGTGAGATTTTGGCGAAACGTCTGCAGGATTCCAGTCGGATGCAAGATTTGCAGGATTCCAGTCGGATGCAGGATTCCAGTCGGAGTTCAACGAGCGAACGGATGATATCCCGGAATATAGTGTCATCACATTTTTCCATCCGTGAATCAATACGTGAGAATATATATATATATATATATATATATATATATATATATATATATATATATATATATATATATATATATATATATGTATACATTCCATTTTTGTGGTGTCGTTTCTGGTTATTTTACTTAATAATTAATGACTAGTTGTCTAGACAGAAGTTTCCTTTGTTTTACTATTTTCTATCTGTGGCTAACATGTGGTGCTCTAGTTGTCCAAGGAGTATTGTGCCCCCTCTGCTGTTAGAGTTTAATTGTTTTTTCTTGTTTTTGTGATAGAGTGTTTATTCCTTGTGTTTTAAGCTTGACTTAACAATAAAAAGCCACTATTCAATGAGCATTTATATCTTTTATTGCTCCCTCTATATTAGTCAATATTGGGCGATCCTGTAGTTATTTTGTGCAAGAAGCTACCAGTAGCCCGTTACTGTCCTTATACTTTATATATACTTTATAACTATTTTTACAGATAATACATAGAATAATATATGGTAAATTGCGTAAACGTCAAGAGAAGCTCTGTTTGGTGTGCAGGTTGGTTCAGATGTGGGGACCTCTATTGGGATCAAAGTGCAGTAGTAAAAATTGTACCGTATCTGAGCGATGATATAAAGAGGGGGTTGCGTCAGGATTGCATTCTGTCACCTCTGTCGGTCTACTGATAAATTAAAAAACATCAGATACGCCGACGACAGATTACTAATTTAAAAAGTATATGATTATTTGCACAAATCTCTCTCACCTCAGAATGATGGCATTTATATGGAGCACCTCTCGAGCAAGTTGAGAAATAGCGGCACCGATAAATGGGACCCATGTAATGAAATTAAAATTAGAATTGAAACAGCACGAGCAGCCATCGTAAAAATGAAAAAAGTTTTCTGTTACGTGATTCCTGTGCTTCTTTATTGCATGTCATGGGTAGTCACTGACGCGCTGATCAAGCGTCTAGAAGCATTCGAAAAGTGGATGTACCGTCATCTACTGAAGATCCTCCCAGCTCGATAGAGTAAAAAACTCAGCATTGCTAGAGCGAACGAATAAACATTCGGAGATAATTCTAACCATCAAGCAGCGAAAGCTAGAATACTTTACTTTGGTCATAACACGCGTCACCCGCAAAAAGTAAGCGAGCAAGAGAGGCTCTGGAAGGAGAAGCACGTCTTGGTTAAAACATGTAAGACAGTCCTCGGTCGAACTGTTTCGTACAGCTGTCAATAAAGCAATAATTGTCAATGTGGTGGCCAGCCTCATACTTAACAATCGTTAAATGGTCGCGGCACTATAAGAAGAACTGCACTGTGCGCAATTTTCTTTCTAATCGGAGATCTTCGCACCTTAACTCGATTAAAATGCCACATCCTAGATTGGTTGAAAACGAGATTTCAAATGACCGCGCATGCGCATCGTCGCTTCAAGAATTCCCGTATTCCGCAGTATAAAAAATTTAGAATAGCTAGGTTTTCCAGACCTCTCCAGAAATTCTAAATGGACGATCGATCGGTAATCACTCTGTGCGCTAATCTCTTACAATTAGTAGAAAAGTAAATAAAATTGTACTGTCATATGTGAGATGTTAATCGCGTTGACAAATAACGAATAATTTTGTTTACAGCCTCTAATGATTTTGTTGTTACTTGTTTAAAATTACAAAAAGACTGGACTTCGGGGGAGGTATATAAAGGTTATATAATGTATGGCCCGTAACCGATAGCTCACATATCCAGTGGTGCGCGGAAACACCGCATAATCTCAAACATTGAATTTATTCGTAGAAATAGAAGATCGCCCGCATGAATTATTGATGAACGTATAAACGCAAACAGGTTTCAGTTAAATCAACATTTATCTGCCGTGTTTGTTTAAACGTTTTAACGCCCTCCCCCCCTTTCGCTTAGGCGTCGATGCTTTAGGTTCGCTGTTTCCGACGTCCGCATTTTCCCGGTCAGCGGCGTCCGTTATCAATATCGAATTCGACGATCGCATTTAAACGCGAGTGCTAAACGTGGCACAGCCCAATCGTTTATCGGTAATATACGATATAAAACTTAATTAGACATCTGAGACGGTGATAATGAATTATTATAGGCGCTAAATGATTCTTACTATTAATTAACGGTTGTTTAATTTATTCCCGGCTAAATGCCGATAATTAACCGGGGAGCACGCGAGCACACTCGTTTATAGTATTCGGCATTATTTCTTGCAGTGGCGTGCCGTGTCATCAGTATTCGTTGATTATCCAAAAAAAGATTTTTTTTGTTGAAATAGGTTTTAGTGTCAATGTATTAAAATTTCTTGGTTTCATCGGCCAAATAAAACAAAACTAGTAAATACATTGATTGCGGATTCCTTCTGGTATACGTATATTGAGAACTTCTAATCATACAAAAATTCCATTTGGGAAACTTTATTTCAACCACCTTTTTTTACGAATTCCTTCCAAATCCTGCATGGGGAGTCCCAAAAACCAAAAAGTCACCAAAAGACCAACCAACCTCCTAACCTTATATCATGAAAATCCCTAGTTGCCTTCTGTCTGGGGTTACAAAGTAAAATACACAAAAATAATGCAATAAAGATTTAAACTTGCGCGCGTTAGATGGCGCTATTTAACTTTAAAAATAAATTCAAAAATTAATACTACAACAATATTTTTTTATAAGACATCCGTTTCGGCTATAAGTAGCCATCTTCAGGTCTTCACCTTCACGGTATTAAATACCTTTATGAATATTGCGGAAACCAAATAAGAAGATGCCCACACATGATCTATTTACCGTTTATGAAATTCATAGAATTCATACTCTTAGAAGAATGAAATTTGATGGATATTTGTGAGAATGCGTTCCATCGGATGCTGTTTCTTGTATAATTATTAATTCGATCCAAAAATTCCTATTATGATATATAGGTGAGAGTTATTGAGACGGGCTTTTGATATATAAACATCAGCTCTGCTGCACCGCCAACAAGTTTGTAATTCCTCGCTTAAACATAACCGTCTAACCTTACATTTCGAGATTCCTTTTTTTCATTCCCTCAAACCCACCCGTGTTTTCGCACACCATTTTACAACGTCATCACGTCTACCTCCATAGGCATCCTGCTCTACCCCCCATCGGTGTTTGTTTACACGATTGATTTACGCGTTGCAGGTGATAGCATGATGACGTACTGTAACAATGGAGGAGGCGGAAACGGAGGAAACGGTGGCGGCGGCGGTGGCGGCGCGACGGGGGGCGGCACGGGCCCGTCCTCGCCGCCGCAGATCGCGTGTGCGGGCGGAGGCGGCACCCCTCCCGTGTCGTCGGGAACGTCCCCCAATGGGGCGGGTGGAGACCAGGACGACGACGTGTGGCGTGGCCACAGCATAGCCGCGTTGCGACGCCGGGCGTCGGAATTGAACGCCGCTATCCCATCTTATCTGCAAATCAACTACGACACACACAATAACGCATCCGTATACTGATTTAGCTGGCTAGCTGTTAGCTGGAGGTCGAACTCGTCTGCTGTAGATAAATTTGTAATTATTTTTGTGGTCGGTGATTTGCGAAACGGGAGTTCAGGGTTCCCCCTGTTTACCTGGGAAACCTGGAAAACTCGGAGAGTTTGGAAGCCGACTAGAAAAGATCAAGGAGCCTGCTTAAATTGACCAAAGTCAGGGAATTTAATGACATAACTTGGAAATTTTAGTAATTGAATACATTCGATTTTTCATTCAACTTTGATAACTGAAGTTTAGTTGGCTGATTTTTCTTCTATTTGTAGTAATGGGAGGCTACCAATTCTAAAATCTGTACAACCAAAGGCATTAAATCAAGTTTAATATCTTTGCGTATATAGATTTTAATAATTATTATCTACCATCATTGTGCAACTGTCCATAATATGCATTATTTAGTTCACGAACGAAATCAGATTTCGCTGAAAATATATCGCTTTGAGCGCCTCCAAAAAGTCGCAATGATCCGATGACAGTCCAATAAAAACTGTAAACACGCAAATGTATTTTAATTCAATTTTATTTGCAAAATGTTAATAAGCTGCTTGGGAAAAATGTTTTTCACATACGCCGACAATATGGAAAGCGCAATTGTTGCAAGTAGTACGTTTATATCTACGTTAGATGGCGTGTTGTTGCGGCCTCCTTCAATCCCATTATACAATAATCAAAAATATTGGCCATATTTTGTCCAATTTTTTCCAAAAATTTTTTTAAGTGACGAATGGAGATAGGAGTGTAAAATTCGTATTATTTGTTCTGTTTCTTTACCGTAAAATCTGGTAGCCGGCGAAACGTTGCAAATTTTTCTACTAGTCTATCGGTGTAATGTTTTGTTTTATATTTAGTTCGTTTTATGTTTATCCAAGCTTGTTAAAAATTACGTGGCGGCGAAAGCGAGTTTTCGCATGCCTCGTACAGATGGCGCTCCGTTGATTTGTAGTGAAAACTATTGGTCCGCGACAGAGACGCCATCATGACGAATTAGAAAACGAGACGCGAGTACATACTTGACGAGTATTAAACTTAGATAAGGGGTTGAGTGGTTCTGGTCTCGCGAAAAGTATACGATGTAATAATAAAATATCTGTACAAAGTGTCATTTATATAAATGGTGTAAAAATTTAGTGTATTTTATTATAAGCTTTAATTTAGATAAGTAAGAACACAAGGTGTCGTGTTTAATATGATATAATAATTATATTATAAATAATGTGTATACCAGAGGTTTCAGTAGTATACGTCGTTGTTAAATGAGAAATAAACAGGTATTATTTAAGTAATGTTTTTTTTTCTTCTTTTTGGCCTCTTTTTCTTCAAACTCTGCAACAATGACACAAAGTCACTATCGAAATGATCAGCTCACAAATAAACCTACCGGGCCAATTCTTATCTAAGCCTTGGTGCAATAGAGCGCCATCTCTCGGTGTGAGGCGTTAAATGTGGACCAAAATTCAACATGAATGCGCAATCTACGACCGGAATAAACGCTGTTTGACACAAATATTTATTACAACTTCCTCGGGTTTAACTATTTTTCGTGTGTTAATATTTTTCGAAAATACATTTGCATTTGTAAAATAATAAATTGTTATTAAGATATAGCGGTATCGTAGCAAACGCGTGGCGTAACCTTTGCCTATAAATAGGAACTAACGACGATGATTTGTTTCAAACAATCGATAGTAAAAAGTCCCCGCTATTTCAAAATAGACACTTGTAGTACGTGTCGCCATCTACACGCGAGAAACAAGACTGAAACCGTGCGCAGATTTACGAAACACTTCTGTAACTCCGGATTAAAGACCTTTGTACTAGATGGCGCTGTATCTATATAGTTTATAACAGTTGATTAGGTAGATTCTATATTTTAAAAATATAAACAATGGTTTTTCAGTCCCTAAAATTGTGACGTTTCCTGTGATGTGGTGGCATACTAAATTATGGTTAGACCGAAATATGGTTATTAACGTACCCTTCAACACTATTACTCAATGGTTGCAATTGCTGCCCTTATTAAATATTTAGACATCGTCTAGCATGATAAAAACCGAATGATTTCGGCTAAGTAATCGGCATTGGTAAATTTTTCACGGTGAACAATAATATGCATGTGTAGAAAAACCCGGTAAAAGCGTAACTTAGCCGATTCGACACGTTTTCTAATTTTAAGTAAACGGGTCTATGGAAGCAGACGTCATCTAAAGCTAGATCGCCTTTCATTAGATTACGTAAGACTTCCAAAATTTCGCGAAACCACATTAACGTTATCCCACAGAAACAAGAAGTAGGTATAGCTCCACAATGCGACAAGTTAATTTAAAACTTAAGTTGTCGATTACTAAGTTTAACCCATCTTTTTTTTGCTTCCTTTTTGTTTTATTTTAAGTCGTTTACTGGGAACTATTGATGTATACTTGAACTGTGAACTTTTTAATTAACTAAACCCTGAACTCTAAACTAAACGTAACTGCACTTTCATTATTAGTTTGAAATTGACTTCAAAAGGTACTTTTAGACCAAGTAACTTATAAGTTGCATATTTCTAAGATTGTGGTGCTATGGAAATCAGGTGGTGCTATGGAAATCAGAGTGTATTTTCGTTTGCCAAAGTTGAGGTTAGAAAATTTGTCAGCAAAGACAAAAAAACAGTTTTTTTTTTAAATATCTGGCTTTTTTCTTTAATCGTTTGGCGCCTCGAAAAAGTTTTGCAGCAGAAAATTGTTTTTGTTTCCCTTTTTCTACCTAATTTGTAAAACCCGGATTTTTTTATTTAAAAGCAGTATTCGACGGCACTGCGAAATTAATCTAATTCAATCACAATTTCAATTACGCAGTTTGTTAATTTTATTTAACCGCGGCTGACTATCGCAGTTATTTTCGAATGTCATTACGCCAATTGATGTTAAATAAATAAATACGATTTACCAACTGGATTGGTTGCCGGTTGTGGTTTTCGCGTATATTTTTGCTTTCAGTATTCCATATCGTTTAGTTCTATTTGGCCTGCTACCCGGCAATTGCACCTAATTTTTTTATTTGCTAGAAATATTCATTAGTAGCTTTAGAACATACCTGTCAAATATTTTTGAAACACACTAACTCATAATGCATCCGAAGTTTTTAAAAGTAAGAATAAAGAAAGAGTGGGCCTTCTAAAATCCTTCTTCAGTCATAATTGAAATTGTATTAAAATTGATTAAAATAATTAAATAAGTACACTCCAAACTCCAACGAAGTAAACAACCTGAATGCCACAACAATACCGTAGAATCCATAGATAAAGAGTTTAGATTAGTATAACAATTCTCACCGACTGACAACTTATTTCAAGGACTCTGGATGAACTTTAAGTCTCCAATTTTAATATAAATAATCTTGCTAAAAAAGGATTAATGATGTTTTCCCTCAAATTTCAAATTAATGCAAGGAGTCTATTCACGAGGTTTCAAATGTATGAACCGACAACCTTTTTGTGAAATCGGCTGTCGACGGAAATTGATCCTACGGCTTCCTGTAAATTGCAATAACAGGTCCAACATATATAAATTGATATTGATGAGCATATTTATTGCCCAAAAAGGAAACGGAAAAGTATCGAATTGTCTTATCAAGTTTCTGTACTCTCAGCATTAGGTATTAGATAGCTATACAGTATTCGAAAAATAGACGGAAATTTTTAATAGGTCGATTCCTTGTTAAAACATATCAAAAATTGTGTATAAACATGCAGTCGATATAAAGGAACGATTCAGATGCTAATTTAGCCCTAATGGATTTAAATTATTGAGTCCAGTCTAGTCCATAACATAAAGTAGACTACAACAAATATTGTAAATATCCACCACCCATTTCCGTACAGCTTCTCACTCGACGAATTTTTGAACGACGAACACTAAAATTCGAGATCTATTTCTCATCTCTTCCCAAGCATTTACGATTTTATTTCTTAACTATTCTATTCTATCTATGGGAGTAGAGTAAACCATCGTCTTAAGGTCTCCTTATAAATAAAAATTTATTGGATTTAAGTCAGGGGAGCGAGGTGATCAGTGAACTTTTCCAGCTCTTCCAATCAGATTTCCATACATTACATTACGAAAGGGCAATTTTTCATCATGAAAATCGAGACAGAACTCGGGATGACACTGGACTGGACAAATTTCAATAGAATCGAGTGAATATCTGGTTCAATATTAATTAAGAAGAAATGAAATTATTTTTTTTACTTAACACACTGTATCTTGAAAACTCTGCATTTCCGCTTGTACTTTTTTCTAGCAGTATACCTATCAAGGAGTATAGAAGTAGTGAATTATGCTGGAATGGAAACGGCGATGATTATACTAGAATCCTTTTTGGTTTCACCCTGTATCTGTAAGTGGAGGAGAGTAGCCTACACTACAGTACTCAGGTCTTAGTGGGTCTATTGTGCTTTTTCCTGGACAGAGAACTCTGCTCTACATCAAGCCCAGTGGCTCCACGTAGATCATCATTCAAAGTCATCTAGCTGATTACAACAATTATATACAACTGACTGACTTTCCCAGATGGAGTGAAGGCTCCGGTCCTATAAAGTTGAGTCCAGCAACCTTCTTAGCCGGGGATTGGCGAGCATTCCCTGTCTACTATCTATGTAGATGGAGTTTTACCAGTTCCTTTGAGCGTGGTGATTTCTCTTGTGGCTCGAGTAATGCCAGCGAACCCCGTCTCCAGCACACTGGGCATCTTACCCATAGCCATCAAAATGTTAAGTTTGAGGGCGGTTCTTGTGTTGCGTTGCTATTTTCTGCTTTATTAAAGTAAGTTGTACTGGATGGTTATGATCCCTACATTATTGACTATCTGTGGGCACAATGATATTACTTGATATTTGTTTTTTCAAAATGGTATAACCTAAAATAATGTCGGTGTATTTTTCGAACAAGCACAAACACCTGTTCAGCATAATATTGTTTTCAGATGCCTAGCAAACGCGAAAGAACAACAATCAAATGCTCGAGGTCGATTCACGGATTGCCAATTACTGCTCGTCGTTTCGCGGTACCCGTTACAACTCTCCAACAGTTAACAAGGGCCACTATTATGTATAAATGTAGAATGGGAACGCGTACAGTACTGAACAAGTAACGAGAAACAGAGTCTGCAGATCACTTATTGAACTTGGGTAAAATGTTTTATGGACTTACACTAAAACGAGCCGTTTTTGCCTATGCTGAAAAATTGTCGCTACCTCATAAATTTAATAAGGAGAAACGGGAGGCGGGAAAAATTGGATTTATGGATTTTTCAGGAGACATCCTAGACTCAGTTTAAGAAAACCGGAAGTCACCAGCATAAATCGTATTCAAATATATTGGGATATTTTTTGAACATGTAATGAGTTTGATTGAAAAACGTGTCTCCCAACACGTATATTTAATGTAGGTGCAACTGGTATAACAACGGACTGAAACAAATTGGGGCAGCAACAAGTGGGGAAAGAGGTAATAATATTACAGTGTACAGCCTTGCTAGAAAAAAAAATGATGCTCGTTCCCGAACGAGATTGACAGCAAGGTTCAATTTATGCATGTAACAAAAGTGGCTGGCTTATTTGGTTAAAACACTTGGAAAATGTAAATAATTACCAAAAATTAAATCTTTTTTATTAGTCTTAGACAACTACTCAAGCCACATATCACATACCACCTGCTTACGACCTTTGCAAGGAGAATGGAATAATTATGCTGTGAGTACCTCGCATTTTTTTTATCACTGAACAAATTGTACGATAATGAATTTGACTTATTTATAAAATCAAGGCCCTACGAAAAGATTATAATCACTGATGTTAACCATGATACAAACAAAGATATTACATTGCGCATGTAGGCGGAGCCAACGGGTCACGCCATTGACGTCACGCAGAGCTTGATTTGGCGGAATTGCTATTCTAACCAAATCTCATTGTTTGTATTGTGTTTTTTCGGTCTTCGTAGAATTTCAGTGCTTTTTTATCGTTTAAATTAAATTATTTTTATCAAAATGCGGTGTTCTGTGGCAGGCTGCAATACAGATAACGGGTTAAAACATTTTTCGAGTGATTTAATGCTGTTTTGGTTTCCTAATGACCAAAACATCAAAAGAGTTTGGGGGGGCGGGGAGGGGGTTTTGCAAACTGGCGGACCCAGTTAATGTAAAAACGAGTATTATTTATGCCAAATCTTGGTGATAATATTGGACATGTGTTTTTTAACTTAAGTCCTCTACTGCAAT